GGACGCGTACAGGGAGTAGCCTTAAATGAGCAGCCAGCACCACCAGGATCTTGGTGAAGACCCTGGGTGCTGAGGATAGGCCGAAGGGAAGAGCCCTGTACTGAAAGTGGCGGTTGAGGTAACAGAATCGCAGGTATCTGCGATGGTTCGGGAGAATAGGGATGTGTAGGTATGCCTCCTTTAGATCTATGGAGGTCAAAAGATCCCCCCGTCTTATGCTGGCTAGGATGGCCTAGCATTTTGAACCTCCTGTAATGGAGGTGGAGATTCAGTCCTTTGAGATCGAGGATGGCCCTCCATCCCCCTGAAGACTTTGGAACTACAAATAGGATGGAATAATAGCCCCGACCCACTTGGTCCAGGGGAACCTCCTCTATAGCCCTGATGGAAAGTAAATGCTGAATGGCGTCTTCCATGAGTCCTCTTTTTACAGAGTTTCTCATGGCTGGGCAAGACACAAAGTGATTCCGTGGCATGGATCTGAACTCCAGGGACAGGCCTTCTGATATGGTGTGCAGAACCCAGGAGTCTGTGGTCGTGTCCTCCCATTGGCAGATAAAGTGAGTAAGTCTGCCGCCAATGGGGGGGTCCCCTCCGAGTCACTTATTGCGACAAAAGGGGCGACCCCCTCTGCCACGAAAGGGCTGCTTGTTTTGGGGCTGGTACCTTGATCGGTCCCTATAGCTCGTTCTGTCAAAAGAACGCTGCTGCCTTGGGGCTGGGGGCCGGTAAGGCTGCGCTGGCTCTGACGCGCTGGCTCCGAAAGGACTGCCTGCGACCGTAAGGGAGGAAACGCCTGTTGGACCTGTGTGCCAAATGAGAAATGATTTTTTGTTTTTGTTTGTTTTCTATGAGATATGGTGTTAGAGCCTCCCCGAATAATTTGCCCCCGATGAAGGGGGCAGTGGCTGCATGCCACTTATGTTTACTCTCGGCTCTCCAGTTTTATTTATTTATTTATTTATTTATTTTTAATTTATATCCCGCCCTTCTCCCGGACGGGACTCAGGGCGGCTCACAACATATATTTAAAACAAAGGTGTATATACAATCCCCCCCTATAAAACCGAATTAAACCAAATTTAGAGTTGTGTTGTTTACAAATTCCTTAAAATGAACCCAATATAAAATCCTCCCTAGGCCAGGTCCGCTTGCTGGAAAAGCCATGTCTTGAGGGCGCGACGGAAGGTAAGGAGATCCGGAATCGTCCGAATCTCAGGGGGTAGTTCGTTCCAGAGGGCAGGGGCACCCACAGAGAAGGCCCTCCCCCTGGGGGTCGCNGAGGTGACGAGAGCATGAGTGACTGTGCGCAAGGCGTCCCGGTCCAGAAAAGGCCGCAACTGGTGAATCAGGCGAACCTGATAAAACGCCCCCCTGGTCACGGCCGACAATTGGTCATCCAATGTCAGCCGCGGATCCAGGAGGACTCCCAAGTTGCGCACCCTCTCTGAGGGGGCCAAGGTTTCGCCCCCTATAGACATAAAAGCCTCCTAGCCATAAAAGCCTCCTAGCCACGACGCTGGAAGTTATAGCTCGGGCTGAATGTTTGGCTGAATAAAGGGAGACATCCGCCATATATTCGGATGCAGCGATGAGTTTGGTCAAATCCTGATATATTCTGACCTCTTCCAATGGAATTCTGTCCTGTAACTGGCGCAGCCAGGAAATTGAAATTCTGGCAAAAAAGGATGTGGCAGTTGCCGCCTTTGTAGCCCATGCAATGCCAAATGGACCTTACGGAAGGCCATTTCTGATTTTTTATCCTCTGCCTTAAGGGCATCTGAGACATCTGCCGGGAGGTTGGCAGTTGAAAAGAGTGGGGCCAGTGATTCATCTACCTTTGGCACCTCCAATAAATCCGCCAGAGTCTTGGCCACATCCACTATCTTGCGTTCAGCCGGTCCTTGGGATGGTTGAACAGCTGGTGATTCCCACTGCCCCTGAATATTCCTGAGGAACAAAAGAGGGCAAGGTATTTGTAGATGTGCATCTACGGGCAGCGCAAACAAAGGATTAGTGTCCTGTTCAGATGAGGGTTGAGGGGTTGGGGTCGGATGGGAGGAAAGCTTACCCGTAGCACAGGCCCTACGCAACAGAGAGGGGAATAGTGAGGCATTGAAGAGTTCAGCCATGGGTTGTGACTCATGGGTAGGTTCTTCACAATCCGACCAACCATCCTTACCGCCCTCATATTCCGACATTTGAGAAGAGTCGGAGTCTGGAGAATGGGAAGGGGAAACCATACCTGACCTATCCAGTGGAGGCCGAGTAGAAGTAGTCGGTGCAGAGGACCCTGGAACCGGGAACGCCTGTTGTTGGCCCGCTGCCGCCATGGCCTGGAATACAGCTTGCAATATCCACCCTTGGAGCTGGTCGGAGAAAGACTGCCCCAACGGAGGTCGTAACTCCGTAGCAGTTGGCGAGACAGCAACGGTTGGTGCTGTGGATGGGCCGGGTAAATCAAGGTCCTCCCCAAACAGAGGTGGTCCTACCTGACCAAAGGCCTGAGTCGAGGCCTGCAGCTGCACGTTCTCTGGCGACCAAGCTCTCGAAGTGGGTGGAAGAGGCGTCCCCGCATCAGGTGGTGTGGAGGTTGACAAGGTATGACCTCTTTCAGCAGACAAGCGTTGGGCTCGGGAAAATTGCTTCTCCAGGGCTCTGTGAGTACGGTCGGCCTGCCTCTCGCTTGCCTTGCCAGCCTTCCTGCCGTATTTCGATTTGGCCTTGGCCTTACCTCTAGGTGCTTCAGGTGTTGGCTCAGCTTGGCTGGATGGATTGTCCATGTCCGAAGGCGGTGGCTCAGTGGTTTCTGCCATATCCATCGAGATGCAACCCCAGGTGACCCTGGGACTGACCCGGTCTGCAAGGGATGTCAGGAGGCCCTCCTGAAGAGGGACTGACTTCGCGTGGACAGGCGTGAGTCAGCCCACTGGCCAACCTGATCTCACGCCTGGCGCACCAAGATGGTGCGAGATCACACGTGTCCCACAATAGTGGCGATGGTCAGGAACTTGAAGCAACCACTAGATGCAGAAGGGCAGAAATAGGCAATGTGGCGAGCAGGGCCTGATGACCGTTGCTTGAGTGAAAACACACCTTGTAGAATGGATCTCTGAATAAGTTCTGTAATACTAAAACTCAATTAGAAAGAATACAGGTAAATATCTATGAAGCTGTGCACAATTGGTAATATATGCACAGTATTTTGAGTAATATGTGCCAATATGCAGAAAACCAAAATGGCGTCTTAGGCCCAGGGAAATAGGGCGTTTCCCTATGACCCAAAATGGCGGACGCCAGAGATCCAGTAAAATATGAGAGAGGAGAGAGGCAAGGAGAAGGAGAAGTGGTAAAATTGGAGGCTGTAGAACGTAAGTAGAAAAGCCCCAGGAGGAAGGGAAGGCAAAAAAACAATGTGCTTGTGCAACTGGGGAGCGGTTTGGGAAATTGTGCCTAACAGTCATTAGGCGCGCAAACCGCTCACCCCCGAATTAAACGGAGCTTCCTCCACCTTGAATCCACCTAATTTGGGCAAGCAAATGCAAGAAAAGAAAGAAAGAAACCTCCCCCTTCTCCACCGCTCGAAGCCAGCTAATCAGCTGTGCTTCGGGCTGAAAATTCACCTACGAAGGCAGCTTCACGAAAGAAACCAAAATGGCGGCCGCAAGTTTTTCCGACCGGGCCCGGTCAGAAGCGAAGCCACGAGGCTTCAGGGTGCGGCCACCAGCTGAAACACTATCTTGGGGGTGTAAAGAAGGCTGAAAACCCCCAGAAGCAAACAATAAAGGAAAAATTCCCCCCCCCTTTTAGTTAAGGAATGGCTCAGCTAAAAAGCTGAGATGAGGGAAGGGAAAGAAAAAATATCCACCACCCCCAGGCCTGGAGGGGAAAGGAAAGCAACCCTGAAGGAGAGGGAAAGGGAATAATTTCCTCCTAAGGGGAAATTTTACTATTCTCCAATTAATGTGAAAGAATCCACCAATGAATCAATAAATCTAGCCTGACCTGCTCCAACAGACAAGAGAGTCAAGAAATCACGTCATCATGGGCGAAGACCAAGATGAAAACTGGGAAGTCCCAGCTAAGGAGGAGGCGTGACAACTTGACAACTTGGTCTGATTGGGCAGTAGGACTAAAATAATCATTGGTGGATTCTTCCGCAATCATGTTGGAGAAAAAATGAATTTTTGATTTTGGGCTTTATCAATTAGATAGATTTGATGTTAATGAAATGGCTAGTTTATAATATTTTGTAAAAGTAAAACGTTGAGGTTTGAAGTTGATACTTTATTGCACCAAAGGAAGTCAGAAGTCAATGCTTTTTTCTCTCCTTTACCTCACTTCTCTACTCCCCTTTCCCTTGCCCATCTTTTCCGCTATTTGCTTTTGTATTTTCATTGTATTGTATATTATAAACTAATACTTTAATATAAAAAGAGAAGAAAAATAAGAGAGATTAGAAAAATAGATCTAGATGAAGTTAACTGTTTTAGATTTTTCTCAGAAAATATTTATAGAAGAAGCAGCCAATTATTTTTCTAAGGATTCTGCTTGCATACCATCCGATGGCCACATGCATCGTGTTTTGAATTTTTGAACAATGTTCTCCAAATTTTCTATTCCAAATGAAAACTCAAATAATCTATACTATCCACATAAGGAATGGTATATGATTAAGACAAAGAAGTTTGACTGAAGATGAATCAGATGGTTGTTAAAGTTAAAATTATTACTTAAATACTAAGTATTTAAACTTATGCAGCTTTAATTATGCCATAATATATTCCCAATTGCTTCAATTATGAATTAGTATTTTTTGGGGTCTTCCAATGCATTTCTTTAAGGCCAGAATATTGAACCAATTAAATAAAATTAATTAATGGGAAACCAGAGGGACTATGAAAAAATAGAATGGTCATTGCTAAAAATTAGTGATCTTAAAGAAACAACTCACAAATTTTCCATTATATGAATGCAAATGATCCAAATAATAAATTTTATTTTTTATCAATACGCTTTTAGCAACCTCAAGTGCTTATTAGATAAATAAAAGTATAAAATATTACAATCATGGAACATTATGAAATTCTTAGAAAGATTGTGCTTTACTCTGTTTGTTTTTAAGTATTGCACATCTTTACATTTGACAGATTAAAAAGAGAAATATCTCTGCAAAAGCAGATAAAAATGTCTTAAGAAAACCTTGAAATGGCCCTTTACATATACATCAGTATTTTAAAACAAACTGAAATACTTCACATGATCTGTATAACATTTAAAATGGGATGAGATGACCCAATACCCAAAAAGCAAGTCCAATACAAAAAATGTAAGGAAAAAGAAAGGGTATTTTGAATTTTTATATAATTTTATACAATCTGAACACATTCACAAAATGCAAGAAAAATTCTTTTGTTGGGATTCTTTATCTGGAGAAAAAAAACAGATTCTAAGGGTTTTCTATGTCTGCTTACCTTCATATTTATGGCTCGTATACACCAAATTTCCATGTAGTGCTTATAATCCAATCAAATACTTAACACTAAGAAGCCTTGTCTCCAACGCTTCAGCAGTTTTGGTGACCATTAGTCCATGTCAGGCATGACAATTACAGACGAGTATTTCTGATGTATTTATTCAAGCTAGCATTCTATCTGAGACCGAGGCATCCTACGTAAACTTAAGGAATGTTGGTTTATCTCTTGCATCTGCCGGATCCGGTCCTTCTGCCACATTAGGTTTTGTGGTATTGGATATTTCTGGGTACCATGTAAGGACCGAAAGGGGATTCTCACGTGACAGGCTGTAGCACGGCAGCGAGCCTGAGGCATAGGAGGGAGTAACAACCAACGCTTCTTCTCAGCACAATAGCGGTAGGCCTCTTTTCTGTACTGTTTATCAGTATCATCACTGTTCTTCCACCCACCTATGATGAAGATATCATCTTTGTAATAGCAGATAGCCGCCCCTTCAATGCTAAGAACCTCTGGTGGCAAGCTTTCCAGAATGTCATCAGATACCTGGTTAGAAATTTTTCTCACGGCCTCTTCATGGTCTAGAGGATAGCTTCTGGGACAACATGAAGCGGTGTGGTAAAAATTGGTGTTGCCCACCACCATTTGGAAGCAGCAATAGTTGTCAAGGAGTGGCAGAGACTCACAATCTCGCCACTGTCGTGTGTCTGCATCATAGCTAATAATGACAGACCTCAAGCCATCTTCATTATCTCCATCATCTGGTGTGCGAGCTGCCATATAAACAAATCTGTTATCTATTGTAATCACTTTAACATCCCGGAGTATCTTTGGTGCAGACTCCAAATTGTGCCACTTATCTAGATCTGGACTGTAGACAGCCACCTCTTTAAAACCAGGGATGAAATATCCACGCCCCCCAATGCTATACAGGTTTCCCTTTACCTCAGTAAATCCAAAATAATGCTTTCTGGTTATCAGATTAGAAACCTGCTCCCAAACATTTCTACCTGGGTTATACCTTTCCATGGTCTTGGCAAAGCCAGGCTCCATGGAACCTGCCACATAAAGATAGGATTCGGTTACTACCACAGCATGTCCATCAAGGTGATTGTGAGTGTGCGGTAAATTCACCCATCTATCTTCATCAATAAAGTACCCCACACACTCACTCAAGTAATCACCACCCTCAGACACACCACCAATGACCATGATAACATCCATGTTTTGGCCGAAGCGAGGCAGAGACGAGATGGGGGAGGTAACTTGTTGGAGTGTACCCAACTGAACATTCTCACCCTTGAGAGCATGGCTTTC